AATTACAGTTGACCACAATTGTTAAACACAATTTATCACAACTATTAATTACAACTGATCACAACTGTTAATTTCACTTGATCACAACTGTTAATTACAATTACTCACAATTATTAATTACAATTAACAATTATCAATCACAATTAATCAAAACTGTAATTACATCAATTAACTATAATTAATCACAACTGGCATAAGCAGTGACAACCGAAAATATTTGCAGAATTATTTTCAATACATTTAACTATGAAATTTGCAATTCATTTACAAAATACAAGAATGTCACAACGCATTATCTACTAGAAAATAGTCGCAACGCAATGCACCGAAGGGTTAACAAATAAAGTAAACATATGCTTGTAGACAAAGTAATAGTCTTCATAATAAAAATTATATTAAATCCGAAAATTATATTGAACTAAATATAATCTAAATAAAATTTGAGTTTCAACTTATCATCCAATAATCAACGTATTCTCACACAAATACGAAAGATACCTGAAAATTCCTTTCAGTTCAATTTTTCAAGCATTTTGATACTGAGCGCACTTTGAAAAATAAAAAGAGGCAGAGTGGTTCACGTGATTCCGCACACGCACGGAAAATATATATATTATTTATGTATATTCTAATTCTAAGGAGTCGCAACATCATCATTGCACGACAGCTAAAAACATTTAAAAGGCCCGTTCAAAAGACACGTTCATTTGCACGAATTATTGGCACGCGTGGGAAACAAGTACGAAGAAGATGAGAAAGCTTGGGAATTACTGATAGAGTCAGACTCAGAATTATACAAATGCGTTTCAAAATAATTTTTATGCATCGTTTTACGATAATCTTGTTCCTTTCAGGAACGAATTTTATGGTACACAGTAAAGTCTTGTTATATGGCACAGTATAAGGGCAGTCGCGGACTGCTTACGATATAAAAGAAATCAATTTTTTGGTCACAGCGATATATTGTCAATTTCAAGAATTTTATGCTCTTATCATTTTTTTGCCACGATATAACGAGAATGTACTGTATCCATTTTCGATATTAAATTTTTACTTGTCAATTTTCAATTTCCAATTTCAATTATCAATTCTCAATTTCCATTTTCTAATTTCCAGTCTTTACCTTTCAAATTTCAATTATTTTCAATTCATTTCAATTTTCGAATATTTTCAATTTTTGTCAATTTTCAATTATTTTCAATTCATTTCAGTTTTCAGTTAATTTCAATTCTTGACAACTTTCAATTATTTTCAATTCATTTCAGTTTTCAGTTAATTTCAATTCTTGTCAACTTTCGAATATTTTCAATTCTTGTCAATTTTTAATTATTTTCAATTCATTTCAGTTTTCAGTTAATTTCAATTCTTTTTAATTCTCAATTAAGCTCAATTATTTTCCATTTTCAATTAGGCTGAATCGTTTTCAATAAGTTTCAATTTCCAATTATTTTCAATTCTTTTCAATTTGCAATTACTTTTGATTATTGTCAATTTTCAAATATTTTCAATTTTTTCAGTTATTTTTAAGTCTTGTCACTCTTCGATTGTTTTCAATACTTTTCAATTTGCAATTATTTTCGATTTTCAATCAAGCTTAATTGTTTTCAATGCTTTTCAGTTTCCAATTGTTTTCGATTGTCAATCAAGTTCAATTACTTTCAATTTTTTTCAATTTTCAATGAAGTTCAATTGTTTCCAATTCTCTGCAATTTTCAATTGTTTTCAATTCTTAATCAAGCTCAATTATTTTCAATTGACAATCAAGCTCAATTGTTTCTAATTCTTTTCAATTTTCAATTATGTTCAGTTTACATTTATTGTAAATTTTTAATTACTTTCAATTTTGAAAATTCGAACTTCAAAATTGAGAAACGAATACAAACTATTCAAATACCGAATGTTGAAAATTGAATATTTTATCGTGTGCATGTAGTTAATTAAAACTAATTTGTTAAATTCTGTATCTCTGACCCCATAGCGATACGATTACACGGAAAAATAGTAATCCCAGATAATTCATCATTATCAATCATTAATTTCATCTACGTTTATCAAACAACGACGATTTCCAACGTATACACGAAATTGTTTATTTACGTGCGTCCATCACTAAATTGAAACGAAACCGAAGAGTTTTTTTACAGAAATAATTTCCTTCGAAATGAAAGATATATATCAAGGAACTAAAATAAATGTTTAATGTTAAATAACATTATTTCTACAAGCAATTACTGTAAATAAAATAAATCTTAAATCAACAAAATTTTCACTGATATATGCAACACATAACTGTTATTCAATAATATTTGATTAAAATAAAATTAACTGAACGAGACAAATAATTGTCTCGCACAAAAAAACTTTTTGAATAAATAATAAAGATTATTGTTTTTGCACAAATTACATTTTTTAATTTTTTAACGTTTCTATCGTACAGGGATTGTACAATATATTTTATAAAAATAGAAACACTGGAATAAAGCTTTTTGTCACCTTTTTCCTATTAATTCGAATGTAATCGTTGCTGAATGTTATTTACAACAATATAAAGTACATATCGCAAAAATAGAAAAATTTTGACAATTCTGTAAATGTCTATCACATTGACGTCCAATATTAAATTATTTTAATATTTTTCTTTTTTGTTACGAGTCCTCGACCCAGGAGTTGGCGCGTGGGGCGGTCCGAAGTGAAAGAAGCTCCGCCCATCCCCACCATGAACACTTCCACCGTTGGAGCGCTTCTAAACACTTAGCTCCGCCCACGCGCCAACTCCTGGATTGACTACAGTACACTAATATGTAATTTACAAAGGTAACAAATTCTCGAATATTTTCAATATAAAACTTGAGCAAATATTACGTCAAAGTATATATTGAAGACCCAATTTCTCACACTTTACACTACAAAGCTTAAAGTCATTAATATTAACTCTAATTACCGCTAATTGTTAACTATCTTTTCAAAAGTTTAAACGTAAATATAACTTCTGCTCGGCAGATTTTCAAACATAAATTTTAACTTGTGAAAACAATAAAAAATATTAAACAGAATCAATTTGTGGATTTTTACTGTTTTCAAAACAAAAAAAAATAACATACATATTTTTGTCATTTTTGCACATTATAATGCTCTTAAGAATAAGTCTAAGACTAGAAGGATTCTTGTCGATTCTTTTCGAACAAGTTAAAAGACTAATTTTTTAAACAATTCGCCATTTTGTTTATGAACAGCTTGACAAAGTATTAAAAGAAAATATACAGGCAAATCTCGAATATCTCCAAAATGAAGATTTATAATTCTTGATAATTATGATATTAATTACTGATTACTTACAATTATCGATTACAATTTATAATTTATAATTGATATATCGTTTCTTTATGACTGATAATTTAGGGTGATAGGAAAATTAATAATATAAGTTTCTAGTAACAATTTTGGAGATATTTGAAGACCCTGTATATTATAATAGAGATTATATTTGTTATAACTAGAAAAAGTTTTAAACACCTTCGATTATTCGTGAGAACTGAATTGCTGTTAACGTAATCGAACAAATTACAGGAACTGCGTAAATTATGGGATGGAGATTAACAAATTAAATTGTTAATACCAGTAAATAAATATTTATATTTTAATAATAAAAAATAATAGAAATATTGTTGGTGAATATTTATTTTCTAGCAACAGTAAGTAATTTTTACTTACTCATAAGAAAATCATAAGTAATAATTATTAATATTAATAAAAAACAAGAATACTACTGAGTAATATTTATTCACGATTATTAATAAAATTAATAAGAAGTAATAAGTAATATTACTAATAATATTTCTTAGTTTTAACAAATATTGAAAACATAATCAATAAGCAATATTCATCTTGCAATATGAACAAATAAATTAAATATTCAATATTAACGAATAAACAAATAATAAGGGCAAGTTTTACGCAGCTTTCATTTAAAATAGAACGTAAAAATTACCAGGTATGAGGGTATTAAAACAGGTGCGTAAAAAAACAATTATATTATCAGCCACACCTGCATATATTTTATTAAAAATATATAGGGAACATTCGATCATCGTAATTGCAAAAACATATTCATACAGAAGCGATATCTTTACCGTTAAATGTTCGATGACGTACGGTTCAGTTTTTGTCTTCGTAATTATAGTTCAGTTGCTTTCAATATATCTGACATATTAAGACGCGGGAAAAGTAAGTACAGTGGCGGGCATGGATGCCTTTTGTACTGAAAATGGCGGCAAAATTCAAATTGGAATCATTTTTTCGTATGTTCAGTTTTTTCACATTTTTTACATTTGCAAATTTTTCATTGTTCAAATTTTGGAATCTTTAAATTTTCGAATTTTGGAATTTTCCAAATTTCACAATTTTTCAAATTTCTCAAATTTCCCAAATTTCTAATTTTCCAAATTTCCCCGTGTTTCCAAATTTTCAAATTTAAAATTTCCGTATTTCAGAATTCTTAGTTTATCGAGTTCTCAAATTTTTCAATTTCCCAAATTTCCAAAATTTCTCAGTTCTCAAATTTCTTAAAGATCTCATATTTCCCAAATTTTTCAAATTTCCAAGTTTCCAATTTCCCAATTTTCCAAATTTCGAAATTTCAAATTTAAAATTTCCATATTTCTAAACTCTTAGTTTATCGATTTTCCAAATTTTCAAATTTCCAAATTTCCCAATCCATCCATTAGTAAATTCACAGATTCATAAATTCAAAAATTCGTAAATCTGTAAACTTGCAAATTATAAAATTTCAAAAATCAGTACATACTTAAATTTGAAAACTTAAAAATTTTTTAATCGACAAATTTGAAATTTCGTAAACCCCTAAATTTTTAAACTTGAAATTTTCAAAAATTCGTAAATCCAAAAATTTGAAAATTCCTACATCTGTACGCTTGAAGAATGTGAAAATTAAAAAACTCAAAAGTTGAATTAAAAAATTCGTAAATCTATAAATTCAAAAATCCAAAAACTTGAAATTTTCCCGCCAATAAATCTCTAAAACCACAAAAATATAAATTCGTAAATTACCCAATTACCCAAAAAGCAAGCAAACCCCCTTCCCCCAACACCATAAATTTCACCTCATAAATCATCGATACCCGCCACTGTACGTGTTAAAATGTTCTCATACATATCGGCTGGGGAATATCTTAACGCGATCAGCGATAATTCATGAATATCTAATCGAGCGATCGTTAACAGCAGCTTCAGCTCTCGCGAGAGGAATAGTAATTAAACGCGTAGCACTCAGAGTGCATCGGAAAAAGCTGCACTCGAGTTCTCTCTCCCTATAATTACTGCTTTCTGTAAAAAACCCTTCGACTGATCAGTTACCGATGGAAACACGGCAAAAAAACGAAAAATGATTTCTCGTATCTCTATCCGGAATTGTTGCATTCGATATAAATTAATCGTCGAGTGCCAGCCTCGAGACATTATATTGATCTTTCAATCGATGATGGACGTACCTAACAACAATTTTGCCGTCGTTCCTTGGCTATTTTTGAACGGAATATAACGGGTGGTCCTCCGATCAACGTTCATGGAGAAAATCTCGAAGGGACTCGAAAAAAACTAATTGGATCTTGCCAGAGATTAAGGACTAGTCCTTCAGCAGACGGACTAAAGGATTCAGCTTACCCTCGTCTGAATTCTTGTATTCTTCTAGTAGCTGTGGAAGATAACATTATCACTCGTTTTTGTTACTTTTGTACCTTGGTTGCGCTCTTGTTCTGTTATTTTGTTAGAGTATCTATTGAGAGCACTGTGTATTACTACTAGTTTACTACGTTATAGGTTGGTGTATAGGAATTTAATACGTAGGGATTTAATGTGGTAGGAAAGTAACGCGGTGGAATTTAATGCGCAGGGATTTAATGGTACAAACGCGATGGAATTTAACGTAATGCGCTTCGATGCGATGGAATTTAACGCAATAGAGTGAATACGGTGTAACGCGGAATTTAACGCAGTATGGAATTAACGCGATGATGTTTAACGTAATGTGGAGTTAATGCGATGGAACTTGATGCGATAGGAAATTAACTTGATGAGATTTAACGCAATCGGGAGTTAACGCGTAGGAATTTAACACGAGAGGGAGTTAACGTGCTAGGAAAGTAACGCGTTGAAATTTAATGCGTAGGAATTTAACGCAGTAAAGAATAAACGCGTAGGAATTTAACGTAATGCGTTTGGATGCGATGGAATTTAACGCAATAGAGTGAATACGGTGTAACGCGGGATTTAACGCAGTATGGAATTAACGCGATGATGTCTAACGTGATGTGGAGTTAACGCGATGGAACTTGAAGCGATAAGATATTAACTTGATGAGATTTAACGCAATCGGGAGTTAACGCGTAGGAATTTAACACGAGAGGGAGTTAACGTGCTAGGAAAGTAACGCGTTGAAATTTAATGCGTAGGAATTTAACGCAGTAAAGAATAAACGCGTAGGAATTTAACGTAATGCGTTTGGATGCGATGGAATTTAACGCAATAGAGTGAATACGGTGTAACGCGGGATTTAACGCAGTATGGAATTAACGCGATGATGTTTAACGTAATGTGGAGTTAACGCGTAGGAATTTAACGCGATGGAACTTAATGCGACAAAAAATTAACTTGATGAGTTTTAACGGGTACGGATTTAACACAATCGGGAGTTAACGCGTAGGAATATAACACGCAGGGAGTTAACGTGCTAGAAAAGTAACGCGCTGGAATTTAATGCGTAGGAATTTAACGCAGTAGAGAATAAACGCGTAGGAATTTAACGTAATAGAGAATAAACGCGTAGGAATTTAACGTAGTAGAAAATACACGCGTAGAAATTTAACGGAATGGAATTTAACATGTAAGGGTTTTAACTTGATAGGCCAGTAATGCGGTGAAATTTAAAGCGTAGGAATTTAACGCAATAAGGAGTCAACATGTAGGGATTTAACGCGATATGGAATTATCGTGATATGGAAATAACACGCTGGAATTTAACGCGATGGAATTTAACGCAGTGGAGAATTAACGAACAGAAATTTAACGCGATGGAATTTAAGGCAGTGGAGAATTAACGAACAGAAATTTAACGCGATGGAATTTAACGCAATAAGAAGTTAACACGGTGGTATTTAACGCATAGGAATTTAACGCAATAAGGAGTCAACGTGTAGGGATTTAACACGATAGGAAGTTAACGAGTAGGAGTTTAACATATAAGTATTTAATATGATAAAGAAATGACGAAGTGAAATTTAATGTGTACGGAATTAACACAACAGGGACTCAACGCAGAGGAATTTAACACGTAAGGAATTAACGCGACAGGAAAGTAACGAGGTGAAATTGAATGCATACGTATTTAACGCAACAAGGAATCAATGTAGATAAATTTAATACATAGCGAATTAACATAATAAGTAATGAAATGAAATTTAACGTGTAAGGATTTAACGCAACAGGGAGTCAATGAAGAGGAATTTAACACGTAAGGAATTAACGCGATAGGTAAGTAACGAGGTGAAATTGAATGCACACGTATTTAACGCAACAAGGAATCAATGTAGATGAATTTAATGCATACGGAATTAGCGTAATAGATAAATAACGAAATGAAATTTAACGCGTAAGGATTTAACGCAACAGGGAGTCACCGCATAGGAAATTAACGATAAGAAATTAACGCGTAGGGACTTAAAATAAATTTACAACGTATATACTATACTTAGTAGTAAACTAGTGATCTCAACTGCTAATTTACTACTATACAAGTAATTATAATGAATTAAAGCTTGAACACTCACCTGATAGGACAATTCGCAAGAAAGAATCGCCGTCGCCTCTGGATTTTGATGCGTCGCCGTCAAAAGCGTTGGGAAAATGTAGGATGTTAATCCTGGAGCGCCATAAAATGGAAACGGTAAAGTACACAGTTGCTGAAGAACACTCGGTCCAGCTCCAGCCGACTGAAGTACCAACTGAAATCAATTTCGACAAAAATCCTTCACTCGATTGTCTACTACTTCACTGTTACACATAAATATACATTAGGGTGGCTGGAAAAAAAATTTTTTTGTTCTCATCCTTTACAGAGCTGATACATGGTATACAAAAAGATCCTTTTAAAGTTTCAGTTCTAAAATTAAAGTTAATAAACTTGATATTGTACTACTGTATAATTTCATATTTTATTATATTATATATGCAAAATTTATTTTTATTAACATGGTGTTCTATGTAGAAATGTTGAAAGTGTCACGGTGTAGGAAAGAAATATATCAATCTTCTCAGAAACAGTGCTCCTTGTACCAAAACATAATATTGTAATAAACTTAATATTGTTTACACCGATTATTAATAATCAAATATTTGTTATAATACACAATTTAATATTATATTATACATATAGGCAAAATTTAATTTTGTGAAACCACACAATTCTAGAAGTGACATAGAAGACTTAGAAGCGTCAGGACATGTGGAAGAACTACATATGTCAATCTCCTCAGAAACAGTAACACAAGTACCAGATAAACTTCACATACTGCAATTTACTACAATATACCTATACACAAAATTCATTTCTAAAAACTTACACAGTCCCAACGTGATAAGAAAATAACGCGATGGAATTTAACGCGTAGGAATTTAACGCAATAGGGAGTTAACGCGTAGGAATTTAAAGCGATAGGGAGGCAACGCAGTACGAAATTAACGCGCAGAAATTTAACGCGATGGAACTTAACATGATAAGAAGGCAACGCCGTGGAATTTAACGCGTAGGAATTTAACGCAATAGGGAGTTAACGCGTAGGAATTTAAAGCGATAGGGAGTCAACGCAGTCCAAAATTAACGCGCAGAAATTTAACGCGATGGAACTTAACACGATAGGAAATTAACGCGATGGAGCTTAACACGTAAGGATTTAACGCAATAAGGAATTAACGCGTAGGAATTTAACACGTAGGGATTTAAAGTGATAGGGAGGCAATGCAATAGAGAATTAACGCGTTGAAATTTAACGCGATGGAATTTAACACAATAGAAAATTAACGCGATGAAATTTAACACGATAGGAAATTAACGCGATGGAGCTTAACACGTAAGGATTTAACGCAATAGGGAGTTTAATTTACTGCAATACACCTATACACAAAATTCATTTCTAAAAACTGACACAGTCTGTAAGAGTTCTACTAATGCAATAGAGAATTAACGCGCAGAAATTTAACGCGATGGAATTTAACACAATAGAAAATTAACGCGATGGAACTTAACACGATAGGAAATTAACGCGATGGAATTTAACACATAAGAATTTAACGCAATAGGGAGTTTAATTTACTGCAATACACCTATACACAAAATTCATTTCTAAAAACTGACACAGTCTGTAAGAGTTCTACAAGAACTAAAACTGCCACGACACAGAAAACAACTACAATCCCCCAGAAATACCACCCGTCGCAAGATTTGCTTTCCATTGCAGAACACCCGTATGCCAGAATAGACCAAGCAAACCCACGGTCGTTGGACAACGAAGACGTTTAATTAATACGGTGTAATGATGCCTGCGACTCTCGAGAACATCGTGGGAAAGTGCGCAACTATCGCAGGTGTCAGAAACTATTTGCACTTCGAGAAACAAGAAAATGTCCGAGGACACCTGGGGTTCAACAAGTGTCTTCCTCGTGCACCTGTAGAGAAGTCAGTTTACAGGAAGTACCCACATGAAACATTTTTATTTCCTCGTTAGCTGTCGTTAAACCGTTCAACTGTTCAACGAAGGATTCCACCTGTCTTTTGACAAAGTCAATCTGTAGAGCGATTCATCTTCCTTCGATGCGTTTGATATATGGCAGGAAAGAGGACGATTACTCTGCAGATGTTATTGTATGCTGGTATGTTCGTTTCTGGGTTGATTATAGGGAGATTATCTGGTTACGGTAATTTTATGCATTTTTGTGACACATGTATCAGTTTATTTCAAGTTTATATATTTGATGTTGTGTAAATCTTTATGTGGAGATATGTGAAGTCTCATGTGATGATTATGTCTATAGATCAAATCTAAGGATATGAAGTGACCTAATAACCTATGGATTTAAAAATTCAAATTTCAATTTAAAAATTTAGACCCCTAGATCGCACTACATGTGGAGATATGTGAAGTTTCATGTGATGATAATGCAGAGGTCCATAGATCAAATCTAGAGATGTCAGTGACCTAACCTGGGGATTTAAAAATTTAGTGAACAAGGGATCTAATAAGCTACCTGCATAAAAATTTAATAACTTATAAATTTGACTGAGAAAAATTTAAATATCACACATAGGCACTTCACCTTAATAATATAATCCCGCAAGTTAATCATCCTTCCTATAAGCAATGTACCCAAAAAAGGAACTATTACCTCCAACCATTTGTCTACCTGCACATCCCAATTTACCTCGTCACAAGTTCCCAAAGATTAGAAGGTCACATTCTTCCGTGATATCTCGTAGATGAGGACCAAAAATAGAAGGAAAGCCCATAAGCAGAACAATTAGGGTGACGGTAGGCAAAGGTCCGTTGAAAGCCAACAGTGAACGCAGTGAAGCTCGTTCTGTATCGTCTAATCTTAGCTTACCGTTACTTTTCGATATCCTTCGGCATAGATCGAATGCTTAGGCGATCACCGGCTAGCTGATATCTCGAAAAAATGGGGCTCGATAGAAAGAAAAGACGTCGCGACGTTTTGAATGGCGCCAGAACGTCGGACATTTTCACGTCGCTAGAAATATCTTGATGAACGTTGGGGAGAAAACGTTCGTTCGGGTATCTGGAGTTTGATATCACCACATTTTTCGTGCGATTCGTGTTTGTGGGGTATTTCTGAGATTAGTTTTTCTTAATTGGTTAATTTGGGAGGATTAGAAATGTTTAGGAGAGTCTAGGATGAAAGTTTTTGGATAGAGAACTAAGAAGACAATTAGGAAACTACAATACAGACAATACGACAAGTAACAAGATATTAAGAAGACACTAGCAAGAGATGTAACAGGACAAGTAACCAGGCAAATAACAAGGTAATAAAAAGGATATAACAAGACAATAACAAGGTAACAACCAGACAATAAAAAGATAATTATCAAGATAAGTAACAACATAATAACAAGACAATAACAAGACAATAACAAGACAAAAACGAGACAACAACAAAACAATAACAAAACACATAACAAAATAAGTAACAAGACGAGAGCAAGACACTAACAAGACAAGTAACAAGACAATAACAAGATAACAACAAGACAAGTAACAAGATAAGTAAGAAGACAAGTAACAAGATGATAACAAGACAACAACAAGACAAGTAACAAGATAAGTAAGAAGACAAGTAACAAGATGATAACAGGACAATAACAAGACAATAACAAGATAACAACAAGGCAATAACAAGGCAAGTAACAGAACAAGTGATAACTGGACAATAACAGGACAATAACAGGACAATAACAAGGCCAATAACAAGGGCAAATAACAATGCCAAAGAATAAGGTTAATAACAAGGCGAAACAACAAGGTCAATAACAAGATAAATAACAAGAAAATAACAAGATCGATAACAAAACCAATAACAAGATCGATAACAAAATCAATAAGAAGAGAAATAACAGAACCAATAACAAGACCAATAGCAAGCACAATAACAAGAGCAATAACAAGACCAATAACAAGACGAATAACAAAACTAATAAGAAGACCAATAAGAAGAACAATAATAAGACCGAAAGGAAGACCAATAACAAGAGCAATAACAAGACCAATAAGAAAACCAATAAGAAGACCAATAACAAGACCAAAAGGAAGACCAATAACAAGAGCAACAACACGACTAATATCAAGACCAATAACAAGACCACAAAATTCAAAAATCATTACGATCCACACTACGATCATCCCACCGAAATAATGCAATATACACAGCCGTCCCGGTGAAATCATAACAACAAATCCATAAAACTCTCTTCCTAAAAGCAATTTATTCTTCAATGGAAACATGCTTTCAAACCAGCAATGATTCAAGAATAGAGTCAGGTTAATGGGAAAAAAGCAAGAAAACGAGAAGCACGCTCCAAACTTAGAAGTCCATTCAAGAAACATCTCGTGTACGAGTCAGTTACAGGGTGTCCGTCTAAAACAACCCCTCATCAATAACCCGAAACACCTTCGATCTATCTTAACCGAATGAAACAATGGTGAAGCATAAAGAACAGTAGCTCGGTTGAGGAATCTGTTTACGCAAAATCACCGCTAACGACCCAACAAATGTACAACTGTACAAATCACTGTGTGGTGTAATGAATGCATCATGTAACAAATCTTTTCGATAGTGAAGTCATTTTAAGTTGAAACAATTTGTATTTAATCCTTAAATAAGGTTTATTGAAGGGGTTGCGTTTATTGAAACGCGTAGGAATTTAAGAAGAGAGGGAGTTAATGTAATAGGGAAGCAACGCGGTGGAATTTAACGCGTAGGAAGTTAACAAGAGAGGGAATTAACGTAATGGGGAAGTAACGCGGTGGGATTTAACGCGTAGGAATTCAACACGAGAGGGAATTAATGTAATAGGGAAGTAACGCGGTGGAATTTAACGCGTAGGAATTTAACACGAGAGGGAGTTAACGTAATAGGGAAATAACGCGGTGGAATTTAACGCGTAGGAATTTAACACGAGAGGGAATTAATGTAATAGGGAAGTAACGCGGTGGAATTTAACGCGTAGGAATTTAACACGAGAGGGAATTAATGTAATAGGGAAGTAACGCGGTGGAATTTAACGCGTAGGAATTTAACAGGAGAGAGAATTAACGTAATGGGGAAGTAACGCGGTGGAATTTAACGCGTAAGAATTTAACAAGAGAGGGAATTAATGTAATGGAGAAGTAACGCGGTGGAATTTAACGCGTAGGAATTTAACACGAGAGGGAATTAATGTAATAGGGAAGTAACGCGGTGGAATTTAACGCGTAGGAATTTAACACGAGAGGGAGTTAACGTAATGGAGAAGTAACGCGGTGAAATTCAACGCGTAGAAATTTAACACAATAAGAAGTTAACGTAATAGGAAAGTAACGCGGTGGAATTTAACGCGTAGGAATTTAACAAGAGAGGGAGTTAACGTAATAGGGAAGTAACGCGGTGGAATTTAACGCGCAGGAGTTTAACACGATAAGGAATTAACGTAATAGGAAAGTAACGCAGTGGAATTTAACGCATAGGAATTTAACACGAGAGGGAATTAACGTAATGGAGAAGTAACGCGGTGGAATTTAACGCGCAGGAATTTAACACGATAAGAAGTTAACGTAATGGAGAAGTAACGCAGTAAAATTTAACAAGTAGGAATTTAGCGCGTAAGGATTTAACACGAGCAGGAGTTAACGTAATTTAATGAGTATTTAAGTGTACCGGAACTTGCAAGTTATGGTACCTACATGGACCTAGATCCTCATATTAAGGATATGTCAATATACAGTTTGTAAATTTTCGCAGTATTGTGTATTACTCAAACCAGCATAGTTTGGTTAAAAATAATTTCAGCACTTGCAAAATATTCTTTCAAGTACACCTTTCAAATTTTCCTCACCCAACTACCAGAGAATTCAGTATTATTTTAACAATAAATTGCAGAAGAAATTAAGTTTGATTCATCATCATTCTTGTCAAAACCGGACTAACCCACTTTCAAAATAAACGACGCACCTTTCGAATACTTCCCATTGTGAACGTTACCTTGCTGCGGTAAATTGCAGTACAAATCGATACATCGATCGCAAAGCAATCGATATTCCCATCGTGGAACCACCCGTTAGATCAGCGTGAAATGCATCGCGCAACAAGCAGCGAAGAAGGAAGAAGCTGTTAGACACAACACACTCAGCGGACCTCCCATCAATATACGGTACGAATGCAGTTAAGATATATTTACTCGGTTCCATTTCGTACATTTGTTCGTGTGTGTGTACATGCACGGTGCCGGGAGGGTGCATCAATCCCCAACGCGTGCATGGGGGATGTGTGTAGCGTTGAGTGCATCGGCGACGTCGCGCATTCGTCTTTCGCCGCTTTCTTTCCTCTCTTTTTTCCCTCTTGTTTTTATTTTTTTTTTCTTTCTTTTTTTTTGAAAGAAGGCTCTTGCCTGCCGAAAGTGTATTCGATACGGGACGAGGAAACTGGCGGGAAAACGCTTTTAACCTTTAACTGGAGGCCGATTTGGCCGATGAATTGTGAGGGGGAGTTTGTGGCCTCGTTACACGATTTATGCGTGTTGCCATCGGCGTAAGTGAATGGGGGCCTGGGTGGGCCTGGTTTCGGGATTTAAACGGTGGGGAATTAACTTGTTAGTGCGTGGAGAGTTATCGCGGTGGAATTTAACGCGTCGGAATTTAGCGCGCAAGGTTTTAACACGAGCAGGAGTTAACATAATAGAGAAGTAACGCGGTGGAATTTAACGCATCGGAATTTAGTGCGTAAGGATTTAATACGAGAAAGAGTTAACGTAATAGGGAAGTAACGCGGTGAAATTTAACGCATCGGAATTTAGCGCGCAAGGATTTAACACGAGCAAGAGTTAACATAATAGGGAAATAACGCGGTGGAATTCAACGCGTAGGAATTTAACACGAGTGGGAGTTAACGTAACAAAAACTAACGCACTGGAATTTAACGCGTAGAGATTTAACACAGCACAAAATTAACGCAATAGAGTTTAACATGATGTGAAATTAACGCATAGAAATTTGACGCGATGGAATGTGATGCGTTAGGAAATTAACGCGGTGGAATTTAACACGTAGGAATTTAACACGAGTGGGAGTTAACGTAACAGAAAACTAACGCGCTGGAATTTAACACGTAGAGATTTAACACAGCACAAAATTAACGCAATAGAGTTTAACGTGATGTGGAATTAACGCGATGGAATGTGATGCGTTAGGAAATTAACACGGTGAAATTTAACACGTAGGAATTTAACGTAATAGGTTCTCCACGCGTAGGAATTTCAAAGATCGGAATTTAACTTGACAGGAAAGTAATGCAATGGAATTTAACGTATAGGAACTTCGCACAATAAGGCTTCAACGCAGTGGAATTTTATCCAACAGGCTGTTAACGCGTAGGAATTTAACACAGTATGGAATTAACGTGATGGAGTTTAACATAACGTAAAATTAACATACAGAAATTTAACGTGATAGGACTTGATACATTAAGAAGGTAACATAGTGAAATTCAACGCGTACGGATTTAACGTAACAGGGAGTTAACGCACAGGAATTTAACACGATAAGAAGTTATCGCATAGGGACTTAACATAAATTTAACACGTAATCTCGTAAACGAAAGCAACTCTCAAATAAAAATCCTGTTAAAGTCAATGTCAGAGTAAATCAATTTGAACCATGAAAAATTGAACTTTCATGTTCACTCGAGAAAGAACTAGATTCAAGGTTGCGATATAACATTCACACACCATAGATTCATTCACAATTTTTTTCATCAACTTGATTTCCCGTCCGACATGATTTAAGTTCAATAAAAGTCGATTACTTTCTTGCATTTTGTCGAGAATTCACAGTGGGTGTCCGGAGTCAACGTTACATCAGATAAATGGACATCGTCACTCAACTGCTTTGAATCAACCGATCGTTTCCCTTCGGCATTCCTCGTGAATATTCCTGCAACTGGCGCAATTTATTTCCGCCCGTTCCACTAACTTTCAGCAATTTTATTGTCAAGTTTGCGGACACACGACAAACACTCGCCTGCAACTTTTCAGATTGATTCGGTCAGCTTTACTTATTCGACCGGCGAGCGGAATTCAATCCTGGGGAGTTTATGGCGGAAGAATGTGCAGAAATGTTGCATAGAAGATGGAAGGACAAAAATAACTACTGTTAGGATCAAACTGACCCACAATGATGTAATCCTTTGTTGCATGATGCTTTCAACTTTGTGAAACTACATGTTATTAATTAATTATGTATACATATTGTTGTAAAGTCATAATTATCCTATGTAATCACATTATACCCTATACTAATCATCTGAACAAACAGTAGTTATTAAATGACCTAACACATAATCTACCCCACACGTTAATCATCTGAACATATAGTAATCAATTTACCTACATAACGTAATTCACACTCCAGTAGTTCTCAATTGAAAATACAATTAAATCCCCCGACGGAACAGGAGATGACCAATATGTCGCTTAAACATGAATAGAGATTCTGCGAAGGGTGCTCACCTGATTTTCCGGATTATTAACTGCAAAATAGCCGAGAACTTGGAACAGTTCTGACAGGATGTAAGTACCACTAGTGTTCTGCGCAGATCCAATTTCCGGCTTGTGCGATATTGGATCCCGTGATAATCGAGTTATCACATGACTAGCTATCAGTCGCCATTGTAAGCTGGTGCCTTCTGCACCTAGCAGGTTCTGAAACCGAAAGATATTCGAATAACGTTACGAACGCGATAAATTTATTTACTTTAAATAATAGAATTTTTCTTTTAATGTATTATGTTATTAATACTGTGTACATTCATATTTCAGACTCTATTATGACGTCATAATATCACTGTGTAAATTTATATTTCACAAATGTTCTACAGAGCTGCATGCAGTGAAGAATAATTAATTAAAATTAAAAATTTGTTGTCAAGTTTGGTCCGCGAAACGCTATAATTTATTCGACTATTTCATTAGGTATTGTTACAATTAATGTTAGATTATGGCAAATGCAAAACATCGATTACTGAGACCTGTCACCTCGAATATTCAACACGTGCGCAGTAGATAATGGTAAGCAATAAACATGTGCAGTAAAGTTTGTGTATGAAACACATGTGAACAAAGTATAATAACTTCACTGCGCATAATTATACCGCACCGTTAATAACTGCGCATAACTATAATGCACTGCGCATGTCTACAAGGTATTAAGTACTGCGCATGTCTATAACGTATTGTCAACAGCTGCGCAACGTTGTTAATTCAAAGTAGACTAGATAAATGACCGTCTGCTATACTTGAGTCATCCAGTTAAAAGCAGCTTAAAATATCAATCATATTAATGAATAAATTATCAATGAAATTTTATTTTAAATATCAATAAATCTAAATATGATTATAACGAAACCTTGACATTGGCTACAAAATTTGTTAACCAGATAATTTTCTTACTGCAAAATCTTAGTAATTCTAAATAAATTACAACTTGCTTCAAAATTGAAAGACAACGTAAAAATAATATTTGATGATTGATTTTATATGGGCCTCGACTGCTATGGACACTGGTCTAAAAATTAATATTTTAACAGGTAGCTTAATATTTTTAAACAACAGACTCAGGGCAATTTCTAAATAATCGGCCTTCTAACTCCATAGTGAACCTTGTGAAGGTGGAAACCTAAGTGCTATGCTTAGTACAGCACTATGGTTCTTTATTTCAATCATTGATGTCCATTATGGTCGAGCAGCCTACAGACCGCGATAGAGATATCGTGTATCCTATGGGGTTTTGTTTGTCAAGATAGAAAGCCCTCCCGTGAAGTCTACAATGATCAAACCACGAATTGAATCGAAACCTCGCGCCCCCATCCATAAAAACCATAAGGGCTATCCCGTGTCCCGCAGGAGAGCCTGCTGAGTCCCATGGGGCCCGCTCTCGATTATCCTTGCGGTCTTTGCAGCCGGCGTTTGCCGAAAAACCAATGTTTATTATCTATTCTCTTTGACTTACTGGCAACCGACTGACTGTTCTTTAATCTCTACGGGAATCTGTCTCCTGGTGCGTTTCAAAGAGACCCTGGATTTAGGGTGCTAACTATGATTCCAGAATTATTATGGATCGCGATTTTTGCGTGCTAACAAAACCGTTAGGTCACTTGGGTGCAATTTTGGATTCTTTGAAGGAAGAATCTTAGGAAGTCTAAGAGGAATCTGAGGAAAATTTAGAGGGAGATCAAATTAGAAAATTCGTAAATTACCCTATTTTGTGATTTCTAAATACCTGAACTTACATGAATAATTATTTTATGTACATTAGAGCATATTTAGAACCACCCACCTGTAATTTCTGAAGATTTAACCCAGCGATGGATTTAAGTAGCCTCAGACTGCGAACAACCAAAATCCTAGTAGACTGTGACATGGTGGTCTGATGAGGGGTCGGAGACGACCCCTTCTGATTCTGCGGCGTCAATGCAACTGCAGCGTAAAGTGCACCAATCGCACCAGCAGCTTCGGTCATAGACAACGTCGAAAGTAAATGCGATTCGACGCTTGTCTGCTCGACATTGTTATTGTTCTCGTGAACATTTCCGATTTCTTGGTCCGTTGACTTCTTCAGGTGGCAACAGATGCGGAAGAGGAGATCGTAAGCGGATATCAATACTGGTGATTCGTGATCCTGATCGACGAAGAAATCTGTCTCGATCAGAGCGCGACTGTGTCGGTATATCCGATCTACGAGTCCACCTGCTACTAGGTATCTGAAACAAAAATAGTTCAGTGAATTAGCGAAAATAGTTACTTCTTGTAGGTATATGTTAAATTTAAGAATAATTCAAATTTTGAAATACACAGATTTGTAGACCACCCAAATTCTGAGGACTCTAAATCTGCATCTTTAAGTTTCTAAATCCTCACATTGGTCTATGAAGTCACTAGGGGCTCAAATGCTTAAATGCTGCAATTCCTAGCCCACCAAACCTATGTTCATCTATAGTTCAAATTCTGTTGTACCCAAATAGTCTATCAAAGTATTGATTTTCTATATCCTTAGTTCTTCAGATCTATGTCTCCATATCCTACCTCCAAGTGTATCTCCAAGTCCTTAGACTACCACATCCTTAAATTACCACGTCCTTAGATGTTTAAAACTCAGAATTACTAAATACCTATTTTCCTAAAGTCGTCAACATAGTCTCCAAAATCCCTGAATTTCCAAACTATAACTCCAACCATACAAGTCTCCAAATCTCAACATTACCGTATCCTTAGATCAGCACATTATTAGACCAAGTCCAAGTCCAAATCCCAAGATTTCTAAATGTGTACCTACAACCCTAAAGTCATCACTACAATCTCCCAGATCCCTAAATGTTCAAACTGCCATTCAATCAATCAAATCTTGAATGAGATGACCACATCCCTAGATGACCACATCTCAGGGTTCCTAAACACCCACATCCCTAAACTCCCAACTCCTCTACATAACTCACGCTCATCTATAATCCAGTTCTAGGTCTCCAAATTCCTATGTTCCCTATCCAAAAAAATCCCTAAAAACATCCAAAAAATGAGAGTTCACTAGAGACCTAAATCGTCACATTTTTCACAATATGTACCCAGATTGTATATTTCATGACGCTCTAACTTCCGACATTTTCAGCTGCTCGTCAATTCCGCTTGTCCCGCGACAAAGAGCGTCCACTTGCCGTTGGAGAGCGATCGGTGTCCACATCGAGCACATGTATCGGGCAGCAAAGTGTGCATATGGGTACCGATAGATCTGGCGTCATAAAGCGCGAGGGGAGCGGCCGGTTAAAAGAAAAGAGACAAAAAAAAACAATGTATTGCTTACAGGACAGCATGTGCGACGGCGTAACACGAGAGGATTATAACATCAGTGGGTAATTCTGTGCGCGCAGCCATCAGAAGAGGGAACAAGCGTCGGCGCATGCGATGCTCATTCTATCGGGTTGTTGTATATGTTTTTCTTTTCTCCGACGGCACCCTTCCTTTCGCAAACTGACCCCCCTCTGAATACGAGGGTGCGCGGCTGTCAGTGCGTATTATCGCCGCCCCCTTTCCACCAAAACACCGACATGCCTCGGCTTCTACACTCGCCGATCGCTATTCGAATATGGAGTAGTGGAGGGCCAACTGTCTCCTCTAATCATAACTAGCTGGAAGCTAATCCAACGCCACTGAACTCGACACGCACACTTCAGGGTGGACCGTTGTTCAACAGGGAGAGAGGGAGAACAACCCTTACGGAAAATAATAGGACAACGACCTGACCCCCTGATTGACATGTCACCGGGTCCTTGCGATGGGCTATTAATTACGAACGATTGAAGGTGCGTATGGATTAAGGATGCTCAATGGCGCGGAAAGATGGCGGAAGAAACGATTGAATTAAAGTTTAGGAACTTTTGCAGGTATTCTGCGTTTATTATTTACTTTTAGTAAATTGTACTTTTAGTAAGAGGTTGATTAGTTGTTAAAAGCGTGAGGTGCGAACTGATGGTCCGCCATCTTGATTTGAAGCGTATCGAATGGCGGGGAAATTTGAATTACAAAATTATAGAATCATTATGTAAAGCAGTATAGAAATTTAAACGATGAAATAATGCAATAAATTTTCTTACGTCCGCCATCTTAATTTGAAGCATGTGGAATGGCGGTAAAATTTAAATTACAAAATTATAAAATTATTATATACAGCAGAGTAAAAATTTAAACGATGAAGTAATGCAATAAACTTGCTTATGAATATACAGTAAAGTCTAGTGGGTTCCAAAACTTCAGGGCTTTGCAAAATTTGAAAATTTTAATGATTAATTTTAATAAAATTAATAATGATTTTCCAGTTACCTAAGGACCAAATAACCTAGGGAACATACCGATCGACCATTAATCAGCAATTCTATTGACTTTGCGGAATCCCTGACAGAACGAATCGTAGGCGGATCAACTCGTCCTACGAGAGTTATTACAATTCAGCAAGGATCCCCTTTTCGGCTATCATTTATGTTATTATAGGTTAAGGGGTGTACGACTCGATCGATTCTAATCCACGCGCGCATCCCGTTGCATTTTATTAGCGTATTTACCGAATCCCTCGGAATACCGTCGAAAGTATCGGTATTATCGCCTGTTCGTGTTCGCCCATTGTACTCGTTGCTTTCATCCTCCGACCAATAGAATTTAAGCGTCTTTGCTTTTATACATATCGTTGAATTATGCAACGAATCAGTATTCCTTCTACTTGCATCCGATGAAATTTATTCATTATTGGACGTCATGCTAAATATTAAAGATATGTTTTAAATAAACATTGGCAAACTCTGACTTCCATATTTGTTCCATTAGGGTGAGGATAGAAGAAAATTATTAAAATGCAATTTTATCTCAAAAATATCTTCAGGTAGATTAAATGACTTTCTACGTTCTTTAAGACCAGTTTGAAATTTTTATATTATGACACTTTCAAGTTTTTCTAGTCGAACCTTTTCAAATTATCAATTGTTCAAATTTTCAACTCAAATAGGTTTTCAAAACTTCTAAAAACATCGGAAGATTTCAAAACTGCCTATGTAAGTTGACTCTCAGGAAATTCAAAAGCATAGCTCCTCAAAAAATTCAAAAAATGCATAAAACTCAAAAGATACCGAAACTAGTGAAGTATATAAACATCTACAAGGCAATTTCGTGGAAACAGAAACATCCGACGTCTGGTTATCTGCTAGGGACCCCAAGCCATGCATCATCGCTCTCCCTAAGATTCCGATCTATCATTGAATGTTTGCGGGGGGTTGAAGCAAATACATTGAATTTATTTATTATTCTCCCTGGCCGCCTTATGGAGGCCGCAGCAGCTCGAGCAATCACTACCCCAGCTCTGCCATTAGCTAACCATATGATTATTTCATAGCAAGGGTGCAGGGGTGCATAACTTTAGACGGGGCTGGTGCCCCGTTCCACTAGCTTACGCGATTTACCGATGCAATACCGAGTGCACGCTTAAGCGCGGAAGACTGCGGCTAATCGGGAAAATTAGTTGAAATATTCATGAAGAGTGCAATTTTCCTGATAACTGTGACTATCGGGTGATGAGTTTTCGTTGTGAGTTGGATTTATGGGTTTTGGGAGAAATTTGTGTTAGGGTGTAATTGGAACTTTTATGAGAACGTAAGGTTAGGTTAGGGCGGGAATCTCATTATATTAAATTTTCTACATGTAAATGTTTTGTACTGTAAATAATAGTAAGTACAAATGAATATTTACATGTTATATATTTTAAAAAATTGTTTAAAGTATTAATATCTTTGTTCAAAGAATTATAGGTGCATGACTTGGAGACTGTTGTGCTAACAAGTTTATAGGTTAGTTTATAGGTTATATGAATATCTGAATATATGAATAACAATTTGTTGCATAAAAAAAATGTTTTTGAGCTGTTACTAATAGCACTAATAATAAACTAATATTTTATGTATAACACATTTAAGAAATTTGTTTAAAGAATGAATATAAAATTTGTTCGAACAGCTTTTGAGGTTAGGATATGAATATATTTATTTTTAATAGTTTGCTGCATGAAAAGAAATGCTTTTGAGCTGTCATAAATACTGAATATTTTACATGTAACGTACTTAAAAAGTTTGTTCAAAGAACTAATATAAAATTTATTCGAAGAATTATAGGGTGGTGCGCATGCTTGGAAAATCATTATAAAAACAAGTTTGTAGGTTAGGGTATAAATACAATTATCTTTAACAATTTGTTACATGAAGTGTTCTCGACATAAATAATAGTAGTCTTGAGATAAATAATAGTAACAATGAACAAATATTTTACATGTAACATATTTAAAAATGATGCATCCCATAGTACTCCGATCGTAAGAAAATATCTCTTGAATTTAGAAAAATATTTCCCCAAACTGTGAAAGATCCTTTTTTAACCAGTCAAAGTGTCTATTTCATGGATGTACTACAATTTTTAGTTGGATGGCAAGGACCCTCTTGAACGAGGACCTTTTCTGTGAGCGGAAAATGTGCCTGACAGAAGTATCATTCACTGCATCCACAATAGACGATGTTTGCGCAACGAAATGGCGGAAGTGTGAAAACGACAGTCGTGTATCAGTGGAGAACTGAGAAAATGAACAGAAACGATGAAGAACGGCTACTTTGCCGTATTATTCACTGACACGTGATTTCAACTTCTTAGGAAATATAAATAACAAATGTTCCTTGCAACTATGTATAATAACTCGATACCTCAAATATTAGGTAAATTTCTTAATAAAAAATTTAATAGTTAAAATTGTAGAATATGTAATTTTATTTAATTAGAAATCTTGAAATGTTTTACTGATGTGTCTATTGTAATTATTTTAATAACTATGTGTTGAATTTGAATTTTGTAGGTTTCCAAAGACCTAGATTCACAAATAAGACTCCACATCTCTAGATGTTCAAATACACGGGTTAGATTCACAAATCCATGAATTCTAAGATCCATAGGTACCTATATTCGTGGATTCCTAGGTCCATAGGTACCCAGACCCATAGATTTCTAGCTCAATAGATACCTAGGTCTAGGTTATCACATTTTTAGCTTCACAAATTTCTAGGTCTACAAATCCCTAAATTAACAAATTTCTATGTTTGTACATTTCTATGCTTACAAATCCCTAAATTCTCAAATTGCCATGTTCACAAATCCCTATATCGTAAATACCCAGACTGTCACATCT